ACAATCTAAGATAGAATAAGAAGAAAGTAATCTTCCAAAAAGTCAAACTTATCAGATACTTAGATGTAAAAAAGAAAAGAATGCAAACTGCTATTTACATCACAATTATAAACTTCGTTTCGATGCGACATAATTTAGATATATATGATAGATTTGCAGCAATAGACCAATATGGCAGTAATATTTAGCAGTAAAGTTCCTTAATGCCTTAAATGTGACACAATATCAGATATTAAATCGTAACATAATAAACATCCTTACTGACCTCTTTTTGTCTTTTCTCAGCAGCTTCTGCTAACTGCCTCCTCCTTGTCTCCTGTTTAGGAAACAGAAAACTTTAGAGCTGTGACGTCATGTGAGGCGCTTATAACAAGCCTTTTTGTTTTTAATTAGCGTATATGCAGTTTGGGAAATAGTAACGTGACATTTGTATATTTCTGACCTTTATTTTTGGGGCTTATTTGGCGCTATATCTGAAGGGAAATGTGATAAATAGCATTAACTTACTGGATCCGGGGTGACGACAACGTCGTCCGCTGCTCCACCAAGGCACGGCAAGCACATTCCCATTCTGCGATTATTTTAATATCCAACGCAGTAATAAAAATTGCGATGAAAATTAATTTTCTCTGCTTCAAATTTATTCAACCAGAATTCTAATGTTCGGCTGGCTAATAAGGCAAAAGAAGCGGCAGCTTCTACTCCAGCTGGCAGCCGCTGGTCAGCGGACATAACCGTTAGCTATGCTAACAGCGGCTCCTGCTTTTAGCCCGTTAGCTATGCTAACAGCGGCTCCTACTGTTAGCCCGGGGGGACATGAGCATTCTAGCTAACGCCTAGTTTAAGCTACCACTACGGGCCAAGCTGCTTCTCGAAGTCACATAATAAACATTTTCATTCCACACCTTTTGCTAAAGCGCCGAGGCATTTGGAAAGCAGAGCTATTCAAAGTCCACTCGGCTATCGGTCCGTTATCTGTTTGTTAATGTAGCCCTGATTACGTCGCTTACGTTCGTTAGTGCGGATGACGTCACATGTATACATTTGGAAGGTGATGGAAACATCCTCTACAATTCCAGTTGGTTTTGTTAGACTCCTTCAAGACAGGAATGGACCGATTATACAAATACCTCCTAAAAAAGACATTTTCATAAACGGTATTAACATTTTAGATAAAAAAAAATTTAACAACAAGTTTATCAAAAATATCTTTTATTGCCCTGTGCTTCCTCGCTGTCAGTCTTACTGGAATAGCAACTTTACGAATATTAACTGGTCATTGGTGTGGACTCACAGTAATAAATATCTAGTCACTAACAAGGTAAAAGAAGTTAACTTTAAAATAATTCATCAAATATATCCAACAAATCAATTTATTAAAAGGTATAGGAATGACTTTGATGAATCTTGTACTTTCTGTAAAGCTGTCACAGAAACAATTTCACATTTGTTTTATGACTGTATTTATGTTAAATTTTTTTGGACAGAAATTGAACATATATTTAAAAGATATTGTGAT